TGCTTATTGAGTGAGGCCTAAACAGCAAACCTAAGTTTATAAGAAGATTAGAATCATAAATCTTCAGAATTAGAAGCTGGTATGGTTCTCCACTGCCACTCCGAACCCCTCTCCCCACTACACTCCCTCTCTTGCTGTTGTGATTCAGGTCTCTAAATATTCAAGCCTAGAAAAATTGGAAGTCAACATGGCAGGTGAAAGATCTGCCTTGCCAGTTACTTCCTAAATGACCTCAGACAAGTCACTTCATATCTAGATCCCCAGTTTCTCCTCAGTAGAATGGTGACAATGATACTCATCCCAGGGGCTGATTTAGGGGGATCAGATGTGCTAATATGGGCACATTGTACATTAGACTAGGACGGGGAAGTTACACTGCTGGGTTTCCAGCTACGCTGCTTGTGGCACAAGCAGTACCAGAGCCCTTCTTTCACTGCAACAGATTCTCCCAAGGCCACAGCAAACCCTTGCTTACCAGAATGTGCTCTATTACACCATTCCAGCAGCCAAATACTGTTTCAGTGCCTTTCCTGAGGTGTAGCTGTTTCTGCACAAATAGCATCAATTACTGTCATCTGGTGTGTGTGTGTGTGTGTGTGTGTGTGTGTGTGTGTGTGTGTGTGTGTGTGTATGGCTTTGGGGTTGATACCTCTCCATCTCTACTCACATCTAACCTTCTCCATCCCAGTCAGCCACCCTGAACTGTCTTCTAAGCATCTTTGTCCACCTGCATTTGCCTATCACTGAAGTTCCTGGCAATGTCAACCATTCTTCAAGCAGAGTTCCTTCTGACTTCACATATTCTCCAATCGATAGACTGCATGGCTGAGAAAAATGCCAGCCCTTAGGGTTGAGGGTGAAGACACAACTCACTGAAGACTGTTAGCCATGAAAGCAGAGGGGGAGAGGGGCAGCATACCCTAGGGCTTGGGTTCTGTTGCACATGAAGGGGAGCTGCTGCAGGGGAGCTGCTTTGCACCCCAGGCAGCTTGGTGGAGTGTGGGCACGGCGGGGCCTCTATGACTCCATTCTTAGCAGGGAACAGAGATGTTGCTGGTGCTGGGGTGCTCCAAGCCCAGGCAAGCATCTGTTTTCACCTCAGGATCCTCTGTCACTGTTGTTTTCAAAACCTAATGTGTATCAGAATCAGCTGGAGGTCTTGTTAAAACACACAACAGTAGCCCCATCCTTGGAGTTTTTGACTCAGTGGATTTGGGGTGGAGCCCAAGAATTTGCATTCCTCATAAGTTCTCAGGTGATGCTGATGCAGCTGGTCCAGGTGCTACACTAGATTAAGAAACACTGCTCCATTTTCCAAGAGTAGGTACTTCAGGGACAGATTCAGACCCTCTCTGCCCTTGTGGAGACACAGATGGGAGAACTTGTCACCTGGTCTACTCTAAAGATGAGGTCAGCTCCTCTGCTATTAAAATCAGCTGGCCAAAAGCTAAAGGGTTGAGCTCATCTTCCTCCTCCTCTTCATTAGAGCAGGTATGACTTTCCTCCTCTCGTGAGGCCTCCATTTGGCCCGGAAGTGCCTGGAACAGGCTCCTGCCTCCTGGCACAGAGATGGGCAGGCAGCATGTGACAAGGA